CCACCTAGAACCTTCCTGGAAAAAGGGTCTTGGTAGATATAATTGAGGATCTCTTAAGTAGGAGAGGAGATCATCCTGACTTGGGGTGGGCCCTAAATCCAGTGACAGGTGTCCTCAGAAGACGAGAGAAGGCCACGTGAAGACAGAGGCAAGTCTACAAAGGCAAAGCATACCAGAGAGCGCCAGCAGACACCAGAAGGTCGGGGGAGGCATGGATGGGATGAATCCTCCTTCAGGTTCAAGAAGGAATCAACCCTGCCAACACCCTGACTTCAGACTTCTGGTTTCTACAACGCGGAGAGGATAAATTGCTGTTTCAAGACACCAAGTTGTGGTAACTTATGATGGCAGCCCCAGGAAACGAATACAGAGGCCATGGTCAAGAGTATGGACTTTATTCTAAGTGCAGCGGGGAACGATGGAAAGGGCTGTAGCAGGAAGAGAGAGAACTGGAATTTTGCTTAAGTGGATCTCTCTGGCTCTGTGTAGAGAATGAATCCAGAGGGCAGGGAGCATGCGGGAAGCAGGGAGGCCGCTGCAAAAGGTCTGAGAGAACAATGGAGCCTTGCCGCTGGGCTCTACACCAGCTATGTGACCGTGGGCAAGTTACCTAACCTCTCCATGACTCAGTTTCTAACCAGTGGGGCGAAAAAGAGTACCTGTCCTGTAGGGCAGCATTCAATGCTTTACTGCCTGTAAATGCTGAAAAGGGAACCCGGCACATGGTGCAGGCTCGCTGCACTTGCCATTCTTATCACAAGAGCATGTGGAGGAGGAAGAGAGGGACAAGGGGACCATTCATGGACTCAGGAGCTTTGGACTGGAGCAAGGTGATGGAGGATGGTGCTGTTAATGTGGAGATGTGCGCTGGGAGGAGAGATCACAGTCCAGGAAGAGTCAGGTTTGAGGCATCCAGGAGAAGACCAACGGAAGTTGGCAGAACTGTGCCCGTTGAGAGTGGGCAAGGACTTTATCTGTTTTTGCTTGTCACCTATAAGCCTAGACCTAGCAGAGATCTTGGCCCAGAGTCAGAGCCCTGTCGAGGTGTACTGAAGGTATCATTCTGGAAAGGCATGACTGAGAAGGGGCACGGGAGCCAGGAGGCATGAGAACACCAGCATTCTCTTTCTGGTCCTTCTACCACTGCCTGCCTCATGGGATGTTGTTGGATGACAGAGATCGGACATAAAGACCTCTCTCTCCAGGGCCCATAACCATCTGACGTGCTGAGACCCACATATCCCTCGGCAGCCTGTTTGCAGAGGCCTGGCAAAGTCCCCCATTCCTCAATGATAAGACAAAGGAAGAGGGGCAAAGAGAGATAAAGCTCATGACTACCACCAGGTAGGATGGGGGGTACCTGATAAAGAAGAGGAATGGAAGATTTTTACAAAAATTTTGGGGTTTCTGGTACAGCCTCTCTCTTAAGGCCACTGGGCCTGGAGGAATGGGGTGAAGACCCAGCCTATGAAATCCCACAGCGGGCCAAGCGGGTGGGGGAGGGCATGCTAACTCAGCTTTCTGAACTAGGGGTTCTTTAGGAGTAGGCAGGGCAGAAAGCAGCTGGGATGGGAACAATGGGTACAGCCAAGGTATGGGGGATGCCTTAGCCAACGTCATGCCAAGGAAACAGAGTCAGGGCCCTTAAAAGTTGCGCCTAATTTAGCATCTGCTCAGCATTGATGACATCTTTTTATAAGGGTTGTCCTCACCTAAATACAATCCAATTGTCAACTGTCTCGGGGCACAGGGTCTTTCTGGGCATTTAAAGGTTCTGATATGCCCCTACTATGACGTTCCTGGGTGACACCTGATATGGAATGATGTGCTGAGGGAGACTGATCCTTTGCCAGGGTATAAGAGCTCTGGATGCAAACAGGAAGCACCAGGACAGCTACAACTCTTGCAAATTGTACCCTGCTCTGAACAAAGTCTTTCCATGTAAATCACCTTCCTCCGAGCCTCACACAGTCCTGTATGTCAGCAGACAGGGCACACAGTCTCATCTCCATTCTCTGTTAGTGCTAAGATGGAGAGGGGCCATGTCCTCAATATAGACCATGACTTTATATGCATTCCCATGAATTACTCCAACTTCAGATGGAGACACACATACTGGCCATCAGCTGCTGTAGGAGTGGTGCTGGGACTTGAAACCTTGTCTGTTCCTGCTTCAAAAGCCAGCTCTCCTCACTATACCCCGCCCGCTCCCTCTAATGGCTGAACTGAGGCCCAGAGAGGAGGAGGGGCTTCCCTGAGGTCACATGAAGAACAACGAAGCCAGGCCCAAATCTCAGCATCCTGATTCCAAACCCAGAGCTCTCTTCTTTTTCTTCATTTTTTTAAAAGATTTTATTTATTTATTTATGTATTTGAGAGCGAGAGAGAAGAGCAAGAGGGAGAGCACAGGAGCAGGGTTGGGGGGAAGAGAGAGAAGCAGGCTTCCCACTGGGCAGGAAGCCTGACTCAGGGCTCAATCCCAGGACCCCAGGATCATGACCTGAGCCGAAGGCAGACGCTCAACCGACTGAGCCCCCCAGATGCCCCACAGAGCTCTCTTCTCAGGGCCAGAGGCAAAACTATTTTAACTTCCTCACAGAACTATGAAAAAACTGAAACCTCTATTAATTTCTCACCATTTAGCTAAACAGGCTTTCTAACCATCTACACATCTCTGATGGTTACTTTTCTGTGTCAACTTGACTGACCTAAGGGTTATTTCTGGGTGTGTCTGTGAGGAGGTTTCCGGATGAGATTAGCATCTGCATCTGTGGATGCAGTAACGCAGTTGGCCCTCCCCAAGGGGCATCATCCAATCCCCTGAAGGCCTCCATAGAACAAAAGGCAGAAGAAGGAGGAATTCACACCCACCCCATGCGCCCTCTACGCCCACTAGGACCTCTCTCCGCAATTTCTCTTGCTGTCCCACTGGGATTTACACCATCAGCTCCCCTGGTTCTCAGGCCTTCAGACCTGGATGTGACGACACCACCAGCTCCCCTGGGTCTCCAGCTTGCAGATGGCAGATCGTCAGACCACCCCCCCCAGCCTCCATAATTGTATGAGCCGATTTCTCATCGCAAATCATATATATATATTCCTTGATTGTTTCTCTAGAGAATCCCAGTACACCCTCTATGCTTTGAATTAAGAAGTCATTCCTAAAAGATTAAAAACCCACCTATTATTTTTCAGGCACTCTGCTAAATACTGGAAGGAAAAGTTTTAACAAGACACAGTATGTGATGCCAATTCTTATAGCACTACTGGGGGGAAAACTGTGCTCTTGACCTTGACTAATCTGTGAGGTCAGTTTTCCTTTAATCAGGAGGTTCTCAACCTTGGCTGGCCTTTGGGTTCACCTGTAGAGATTTAAAACATCCAGTTCCCGGGTCCAAGCCCCAGAACTTGTGATTTAATTGGTCTGGGATACAGCCTGGGCATCGGAATTTTTTTTTTTTTTTTTTTGTAATTTGTCATCAAACACTGTATTTCCAATTCATAGTCACAATTTTTATTTTTTTTATTTTTTTGATATTTTTATTATTATTTTTTATTGTTATGTTAATCCCCATACATTACATCATTAGTTTTAAAGGTAGTGTTCCATGATTCATTGTTTGTGCATAACACCCAGTGCTCCATGCAGAACGTGCCCTCAATACCCATCACCAGGCTAACCCATCCTCCCACCCCCCTCCCCTCTAGAACCCTCAGTTTGTTTTTCAGAGTCCATCATCTCTCATGGTTCGTCTACCCCTCCGATTTCCCCCCCTTCATCCTTCCCCTCCTGCTATCTTCTTCTTCTTTTTTTTTTCTTAACATATATTGCATTATCTGTTTCAGAGGTACAGATCTGAGATTCAACAGTCTTGCACAATTCACAGCGCTTACTAGAGCACATACCCTCCCCAGTGTCTATCGCCCAGTCACCCCATCCCCCCCACCCCCCCACCCCTCAGTTTGTTTCCTGAGATCAAGAATTCCTCATATCAGTGAGGTCATATGATACATGTCTTTCTCTGATTGACTTATTTCGCTCAGCATAATACCCTCCAGTTCCATCCACGTTGTTGCAAATGGCAAGATCTCATTCCTTTTGATGGCTGCATAATATTCCATTATATATATATACCACATCTTCTTTATCCATTCATCTGTCGGGCATCGGAATTTTTAAACACAAGAGAAGACTGCTAATTATTCATCAACATGACTTAATTGTGGATATAAAGCCTTTCTTTTTGCTCATTCATTTTCAAAATTAATGTGATGCAGCTGACAGCACACAAGACATAAAACAGACTATTCTATGAAGTATTAAAAATGGGAACTCTCAGAGGAGAAGAGAAAAACCTGTGAGAAAGGAATTATCATAACGAAGCACAAAATGCAGCTCTGAGCTTTCTGGAACAAATGTGCCAAGAACAAGAGGGGTCGTCATCAAGGTCAATAAAAGGAAGCCAATGAGAAAAAAAATAAAAACCCAAAAAACGATTTTCTGCAAAATACTTCTAAGAACACAGGTGAAAAATATCTGGATGAACAAAGACAGCTGAACCCCCAGATGCTTTGTGACTCATCCACAGCCAGGCGGCTCCCAGATCAGCTAATAGCCAGCCAATCTGAAGGTCGGCCATTCTTCCGGAAGGTCCACAGGCTTCCCTGGAATGACCCTTGACTGAGGAAGCCTGCAAAGGGAGACTGTCACCCAGCTGTCTCATGAAAGCTCTCTACTCAGGCCCACACAAGGGATAAGGAGCCAGCTCACCACAGGACTTACTGCATCCACGCTCACAGCAAGAGCTCTGTTTAAGCCGAGACGCCATATGACGCACACGACACCCCTGCACCCCGGGCCCTTGGAGTGACTTCATTTTTTCCCTTAAGCTCAAATTCTCCTCGGGAGACAGACCCTCCTTGGCATCAGGCAGTAAGAGTTGTGATTTGGAAACCCTGATCAGGGCACCCTGGAGAATGCCTGGTCAAGGGGGACTTACGGGGGGTTGTCACACTTCCTCTGCCGGAAGCGGGCTCCTGTCCCACACGTCCGGCTGCACATGCTCCAGGCGCCCCACGGGCTCCAGTCTCCGTCCACGTGCTCCGGGATGGGCGTCTTGCTCACACACTCCCCTGCGCGGCACCACTGAAACACAGCAGGGTGGGCCCCGGGCCCCAGGGGCGCTCAGCGCCGAGGAGCCAACCTGCTCGCTCACCACATCACTGCAGGTCCCCCCCACGAGAAAACGCCACGCCATCCCTGGTGGCTTTTGGTAATTTACACAAAAGTAGACCCTTGCGGGGGTAGGCATGCTTGGGAACTCTAGAGCCTGTCCATGTGGGCTTTGCATTTTGCCCTCACAGTCCACACGGAATGGGCTCCCTTGGAGTTTTCTGAATTCTCAGAGAAAGGATTAATTCACATGGCTCTTGAAGAGACCTGAGCTTTGGCCAACTTTACTTCACGCGAGCGCGTCGTCTCTCTGGAAGGCTGTGTTTCCTGGCTCTGTGGTTTTGCACTTTGAAGCTGGGTTTGGTGCTCGGAGAGGACGCTGCCAGCTCCAAAGGGGTGAACCTTGGCTCTGAGAATAAGAGAAAGCCACTCCTCCAAGATGGAATTCCCCAATGAGCGTGGCACTTCCGGGCCACAAGAGGTGATTTCGTGGTTTCTCATCATGGCATCTTGTTCACTCCTTGCAGTAAGACTAAGGAGCAATCTGTGGCTGCTGGCCCTGAACACCCCCCCTCGCCAACACCAGTCTCTCCTGTTAATGAACATCAGGCCTCGCTCTCTTAACCTCGAGCTAGAATCGCCTAACACTGTTCTCATCGAACTCGTTTTAGGATAGCCTTTTGCATATGGCCAGCGATCCTGTTTTCCCATGTATGGTTTATTGATGTAAAAGGCTTATTTTTAAGGAAATTCACTTGTGTGACAAAAAGAGTCAATTTAACAAAAATATTAAGCAATTTTTATATCTTACCAGAAAAAAAAAAGGAGAAAGGTGATAGAAGTGTCCATTTTTGCCCAGAGTGGGCTCCATGGGCCTTTCTGGGGCTGCCCAGGGGGAGTTTCAGGCACTCCTGAGTACAGTGCAGACCACCTCCCCTTCAAGAGACGTGCCCAATGCCCAGGAGATGGGGGCCGGGGGAGGGCTGTGGGAGGCGGGGGTTACCTTGTCTGCCCCACACTCGGTACCGTCCAGGGGAGGGTCCAGCTTGGTCTTGCAGGATGTATCTCCTTCCACCAGGCACCACAGTCCAGCGCACATCAGATGCTGCTGACAAGGGAAGGAACACAACTGCCTAGAACACCAGAAACAGGTCACTCCTGGGGTCGGAAGGTGGGGCCCAATGACTGGTTTGGATTTGGAATTTGAAATACGAAGGGAAAAAGGACGGTCATGAATCTGTATGTAAAAGCGCATCATTCAACTGGTTCACTCTAACTCCACAAAATTCTGTGCATTGACTCCCAGGAGGGTGCTTGTCTTGGCGGGGGGATTCAGTTTGGCAACTCCTGCATTAGCTACTGAGGGGGTGTCCAACGCAGGGCGCAGGCTGGGCGCCATTAACAAACACATACCTTCCGTTTAATGTAGGAAGGTCCGAGGCAGATACCCATGGGTCGGACATAGTGCACAGGAAAAGAATCTCCACGGCAGAGCCTCCTCAGACAGGGCCTGCCAGAAGAGGCAGCTTTGTTGCTGAGGCTGGAGGGGCCATTACGTAGGCCTAGAATCCAGAGCCCGAAGGCCGATAAAGGGCTCAGAGACCTCAAAGGGTTAAAGAAGGTTTTCCACTCTCCCCGTGGTCACCCATTTTCTAGCTCAGCTGACTTATGCATAATTTCTTATAGTATTTCACCTAAGGAATTTCTGAACATGCACAAATACACAATTAAAATAATTCCCCTTCAACAAGGACAAGCATTTAAAAACAGACTCCCATTTGTATTAATAGGAAACCCACACGTAGACAAAGTACTCAGGATGGGATCATTTATGAAAAGAACTGGGGCAGACATGGCCAGCATCCTCCCTGGCTGCCTCAGTCTCCCCTCCAGGACTCAGAGCATTCAGTGTTGCTTCCCCAGTCTCTCTGCCCCGAGGCCATCCTCTGACCATGGAGCGACGCTTGACCACAGGGATGGGAGCTGGACAGCCCATCTCCCTGGGTGGGATGGCTCCGAGGCAAGCTCCTCACTTCTCTCAGAGGGTCCTGGTGGGTTGGCCCCACTGTCCCTGCAGTCGCCTGCCCTTCAGTGCACTTTGGATTCCCCACCCTCTTCTCCCACCTCCCTGACCCCTCACAGTGCTTCCTGGGATCACTTCCCAGATAAACTCCTTGCACCCAAATCCTTGCCTCGTGGTCTGAAAATTGAGAACAGATGTACTGAAGGCTCTTTTAAAGACGCAGTGCTTCCAGGATGCCAAGCCCAATCATGGGGAAGAGGCCTGGGCTGCAGCAAGAAGACGTCACCCTCCAGGACGTGGCCGGGGCACCTGAGGGTGCATTTTGGGCCCAGTGAGGGTCAAGGGTCCTTGCTCAGGACAGTCACAGTGGAGCTTGCAAAAGGTGTGCCTTGCTTCGTGTAGAGGGCTGCCATTCCAAGTAACCTCAAACATCTGCATAGAAGAGATGTGCACTGCGCTGTCTCAAGTCAAAAAGTATTTCGAAGTTGAAGGGACAAACAGAGCAAAAGGGAAGAAGGGAAGCAGAGTTGGAGGGGCTTTGACAAAGAGTTCAAAAGCCCACAGAGCGTGCTCATTTTTCAAGTATGTCGAAGCTGCTCTGTGCCCTTAAAGAAGTTGATGATTCAAGTGGAACAGTGCACATTTGGGGTCAGGAAAGCCCCTGTGTTCCCATTACTGTTCACCTCTCCATGGAATGGTAAAAAGATGAGAACTCTGAGCATACCACCAGTTGGTCCCATAAATATGGACTGCACCTCATTAAATGTTTGATTCCATGAACTTTAACCCCAGAGCTCTCTGAGAGTGTGGTGTCAGTGTGTGGCCATGTGTTTGTGAGACAAGGCTGACCTGGGAGGTAATTTATGAGGTAGGAGTGCTTGGGATTAGGAGACGCACCTGCCCCATCCGGAGGGAGAGGAAGAAGGTGGTGTGAACTGTTATGCAATTTATAGACAGCACATTCCCATAAAACTTTTCTAATCATCAGGGAAAAGGGGATGAGGTCAGGCAAAGCTTTCTTAAGTAGAACACAAAAAGTACTAACCATAAAGGGAAAAATTAATGAATTATACTATATTAAAATGAAGAACTTCTGTTTATCAAAAGACAACTGTAAGAAAGTGAGAGAGGATATTTGTAATACATGGGAGAGATGTTTGTAATGAATGGGATCAACATAGGATTTGTATCTAGAATATATGTAAAAAACACAAAACAAAAGCCCCCCCACAGACAAATTAAAATGGCACAGTAGAAAAATGGGCAAAAAACTTGGAAACTTCACAAATGAGGGCATTTAAACATAAGGATGGCCAATAAACACATGAACAGGCGCTCAGTTTCATCAGCCATCCAGAAAAGGCAAATTAAAACCACCACTCTGTACCTCTACACACCCACCGGAATGACTAAATGACAGAGAATACAAAGTGTTGACAAGGATGTGGTGTGATAAGAGCGCTCTTAAATTAATGATGAGCTTCTAACTTGGTTCAACAACTCTGAGAAACTCTTTGATAGTACCTACTAAAGCTGAAGACATGCACATTCTAATATTCAACAATTCCACTCCTAGGTATGCGTCGGACAGAAACGTGTGTCTATGTTCACCAAAAACATTTTGTCAAGAAGGTTCCCAGCAAAAATCTTTGTATGAGTCCCAAAGTTGAAAACTGCCCCAATGGCCATCAACAGAGGAATTATGGTCTATCAGAACAATGGAATACTGCATGATTCCATTTACATGAACTTCAAAAACAAGTAGAAGAAAATGGTAGTGCTGGGAGTCAGGACAGTGGTTACCTTTCTGTTTAGTTTCAAAACAAAGACAAGAGGATTGAGCGGAGAAGGCAACTTTAGAGCTGTAGCCTCTGACCCCAGCTCGGCCATCAGCATTGCCCTGTGTGCCCAAGCTAAGCAGCTGCCCTTCTGTGATTCGTTTTCAGTACTGGAAAAACAGTATGGATAGCATTAATCTTTGCCACTGTGATGCCTTTTAGAGAGCTGGCATTCATGACATGCTTTCCAAATGACAAAGCGCTCTGTCATCCTGAGGCTTATGACAGCTGTGGGAGGCAAGTAAGACAGGGCTTTCTCTATTTTTCCCATTTTTCCAAAGAAGAGGCACATCTTTGTAGAGGTCAAGGGCCTGAGCTGGATCAGAAGTACTGGACTGAGAGTTCATTGATCAAGGTTCATATCCTGGTTCTTGACCCATGTAGTGGCTCAAAAGATGTGTTCACTCTCTAAAAACTAATCAAGCTCTAAATGTATGATCTGTGCATTTTTATGCCTGCATAGTATGCTGTTTATAGTAAAACTATTTACAGAGAGAGAGAAGATAAGGAGAGAAATGCATGCTCAAACTGGAGAGGGAAGATTCTCTGGACCCAACCTATCACCAGGTAGAAGCAGGAAAATCAAGGCTCCACAAGGAAATGACAAGGAGACCATATGTGTAGGAAGCCATTCCTAGAGCAGGAGACAGACTGCATGGTGGATAGTCTTGCAACTGCTGGTCTCTTTAGGTTGGAACACACACACTCCTCCACTAAGGAGAATTCCTCCTAGTCTGAAAATAGCCCTGACACTCTCCAAATGAACATCCTATCTATCCCTGGTCCAGGAATAACTCAGAGGTGAACAATAGTCAGAAACAATCAGTACAGGATTTATACAAATTAGTATGAATAAAAAGGGAGAAGATACAGGAGGGAGAAAGCATGTGAAGAATACTCACCAGATAATATGATCATCATATGGCTAAAAAGAATGTGCAAACCTATGTGCATTATTTTTTTTAAAAAAAACCATAGTAATTGCGTCTTTTTTTTTTTTTTTTTTTTGCACTTGCAAAAAGCAAATACATAAGAACTCAGGGAAAAGATGGTCAGGTCAAACGAGATAAAGTATTAACCATCAGAACTGGGCCAAGGAAGGTAAAAAAGAATACAATCAGATGACCAATGAGGACAACACTGAGAGCAGAAGAAGAGAGATACCACTGAACACAGAGGGGTACATGGAGTTAATGACCAAGCAAAAGTGAATTTAATAAAATGAATAAACAATTGAAACAGATTAGGCAGAAACGACAGACATGTAAGACACATAAAGGAGATGTGACATAAGCAAAAGTGGGAGGCAAGGAGGATGAGCTCTCTCTATTTTTTCCAATGAGGGGATAGATGTTTGTGGAGGTCAAGGGCCCTGAGTTGGGGTGGAAGGACAGGACTCCTAAAGAAGAGAACCAAAGTAATGGGACAGAAAAGGTATCTGAAGAGAAATTCAAGATCCTATCCTGAAATGAAAGAAGCTCTCAGTTTCAGATTAGAAAGCAAAGTCCTATTCCAGGAAAAAATGGCGAAGAATAATGAACACAGAGGCATGTCCTTGATAAAAGTTACTGGATTTCAGAGATAGAGCACAAAATATTTTAAGCAGCCGGGCAAAAAGATCAAGTCACTGACAATGGGAAAAGACAGCAGGCTCCCTGCAGATTTCTCCACAACAGCACCCACTGCGGGGTGATGCTTAGAAGGACACAAGGAAAGAAAATGTAACCTGAGTAATTTCTAGCAACTAAAGTGTTGCTTAGGTATTTATGTAACAGAAAATTACTTTTTAAAAATATTTTATTTATTTGAGAGAGAGGGAGAAAGCACGAGCTGGAGTGGGGGAGTGGCAGGCAGAGGGAGAAGCAGACTCCCCGCTAAGCAGGGAGCCCAATGCGGGACTCGATCCCAGGACCCTGAGGTCATGACCTGAGCCAAAGGCAGATGCTTAATTGACTGGGCCACCCAGGTGCCCCCAGAAAATTATTTTTGAACGTATAAAGAGTGGAATCCTTTTCTGGAGAAAATACTAGAGGATAAAGTTCAGTCAGCAGAGAAATGAATGCAAAACCCAGAAGTGACTAGAAATGAGCACCCACCAAAGCATCAATTGAAATGAAGTTAGAGAACTTCTCTAGCTGAAGTTAGAGAACAGAAGGCAGAGGATATAAATTTGGATGAGACAGAAATGGTAGAGATATAAGAACAGGCTATAAAAGAAGGTGCAGTGGGGGGGGCATAAGAGATTGT